CCCACCGCACGAATTTGTGGCACACCCCTCACATGTTTCGTGGCCCCAAAGGGAGCCCCACCGACGGCCTTGGTGGTTGGGTTCGCATACGCCCACCGCATTCATTTTCGGCACATGCCTCACACGCTCCGTGGTCCCATAGGGATCTCCACCGACGGCCCCAGTGGTTGCGTTTGCATGCGCCCACAGCGCTCACTTTTTTGGCACACCCTCACATGTTTCGCGGCCCCGTACGGGGCTCCACCGACGGCCCCAGTGGCTGCGTTTGCATGCGCCCCCCGCACCCACTTTGGCACACCGCTCACACGCTTCCTGGCCCCAGAGGGGATTCCACCGGCGGCCCCAGTGGCTGCTTTCGCACGCGCCCACCGCACCCATTTTGGCACACCTCTCACACGCTTCGTGGCCCTTCTTGGGAGCTCCTCCGCATGCGGTGCGTACAACGACGGTGTTCACAACTGCATATTTGGTTGGTCCTTCGCCAGGCGAATGCAATCTTGGCGCGTGGCCTCGAGTTCGGCCCTGGGGCCCGTGATCGGGCTCCGGGGCGCCCACAGATCCAGGGCGAAAAGCTGCGCCTGGGGAAGGGGTCGGGACTTCTGGGGCCGCGGCTTGCGCAAGTCATATAGCCGAATATTTGGGACGGCCGTCGGCCTCGCTCTGGGGCTCCGCCGCTTCCTTCCTCTCCATCTCCGCCTAATTCAAGCTTCGCGCGGCCCGCTTAGCTTCGACCGGAAGAGATGCGCTCTCGACCCGCGGATCAAAATTATTCACTTCGTGGAGCTCTCCATATGTGCATCTCATGTTTTATATTATGCCGTAGCGAGCGTCTGTTCATGAGCGTTTGACTATAATAGCCCGTCCACGTTGGCGACAGGCCCGACGAAGACGAGTGCATCCTGATGCGAGTGAGTGAGTATGAGTCAGAGTGAGCTGAGTATGATTGCACATGAGCCTCTTCATCTTCACTCCCCCTCCTCAGCTGCCAGGCCGTGCCCTCCTCAGCCTGCAGTAACTTCGGAGCTTCCCAGATGTGCATACTCTTACTCCTCCTCCTCCTCCTCCTCCTCCTCCTCCTCCTCCTCCTCCTCCTCCTCCTCCCCCTCTCCTCCATCCTCAAAATCTGCTATGAAAGCCAAGGATGTTGAGCACGAAAACGAGCAAACCGCCTGAGACATCCCCACAAACTGGCCGCGAACGGGCCCGTGATACACCCCCTGGCGGCTCCCCTTAGGGGTGCTGAAACCAGCGCCCCGCCTGAGACATCTCCACAATCTGCTATGAAAGCCAAGGATGTTGAGCACGAAAACGAGCAAACCGCCTGAGACATCCCCACAAACTGGCCGCGAACGGGCCCGTGATATACCCCCTGGCGGCTCCCCTTAGGGGTGGTGAAACCAGCGCCACGCCTGAGAAATCCTCACAATCTGCTATGAAAGCGAAGGATGTTGGGCATGAAAACGAGCAAACCGCCTGAGACATCCCCACAATCTGGCTGCGAACGGGCCCGTGATATACCCCCTGGCGGCTCCCCTTAGGAGTGCTGAAGCCAGCGCCCCGCCTGAGACATCCTCACAATCTGCTATGAAAGCCAAGGATGTTGAGCACGAAAACGAGCAAGCCGCCTGAGACATCCCCACAAACTGGCCGCGAACGGGCCCGTGATATACGCCCTGGCGGCTCCCCTTAGGGGTGCTGAAACCAGCGCCCCGCCTGAGACATCCCCACAATCTGCTATGAAAGCCAAGGATGTTGGGCATGAACACGAGCAAACCGCCTGAGACATCCCCACAAACTGGCCGCGAACGGGCCCGTGATACACCCCCTGGCGGCTCCCCTTAGGGGTGCTGAAACCAGCGCCCCGCCTTAGACATCCCCACAATCTGCTATGAAAGCCAAGGATGTTGGGAATGAAAACGAGCAAACCGCCTGAGACATCCCCACAAACTGGCCGCGAACGGGCCCGTGATACACCCCCTGGCGGCTCCCCTCAGGGGTGCTGAAACCAGCGCCCCGAGTATGAGCAAGTCTGGGTATGAGCAAGTCTGAGTATGAGTAAGTCCGACAGGAGGGGAGGACGAAGGAGGAGGAGGAGAGGAGGAGAGGAGGAGGAGGAGAGGAAGTAGGAGGCGTCCAAGTAATTACTCGACGCGGGGCTCCCCATATGTGCATCTCGTTCTCTTGGTACGTCTTTCTCTTGTTATCTGTCAATGAGCGCCTGTGTGCGAGGGCGAACCGCTCGCTCGAGACATTCCCACAGTCTGCAAGCATGAGTGCGACCACTAGCAAATCTGAGAGCGACTGATTCTGAATGTGAGTTAATCTGGGCGCGATTGAGCCTGGGTTTGAGTGGGTATGCGTGTGAGTAAATATGAGCGCGAGTGCGTCTGTGTGCGAGTGGGTCTGAGTATGGACGAATCTGAGTGTGAGCCAGTCTGTGATTGAGCGGATCGTAGCATGATGAGTCTGAGCATGAGTGAGTCTGGGCTTGAGTGGGTCTGAGTGTGAGAAAAAGTGTGTGTTAATGAGTCTGAGTGCGAGTGAGCCGAGTGCGATTGGGTATGGATGTGAGGCAGTCTGAGTGTGAGTCGGTCTGCATTTGAGCGGACCGAAGGATGATGAGTCTGAGCAGGAGCGAGTCTGAGTATGAGTGGTTCTGAGCGTGAGTCTGAGTGTGAGTAAGTTTAAGTATGTATATGATTGAGTCTAAGTGCGAGTGAGCCTGCGTGTGACTGAGTCTGAGTATGAGTGAGTATGAATGCAGAAGAGTGAAGGAGAGCGGAGAGCGAAGGAGAGTGAGGCGGAAGCGTTTGAGTACAACCTAAAGCTTTGGAACATCGAACCTCGATCGTCTGGCCCTGGCTACTCGAGTTGCCCACGTCCTCCTCCTCCTCCTCCTCCTCATCATCATCATCATCCTCATCCTCCCCTTCCTGCTTCTGCTCCTACCGTGTTCATGCTGTCCTCCTTCTGCTCCTCCTCCTCCTCCTCCTCCTCGTCCTCTTCCTCCTCCTCCTCGCTTCCTTCCTCCTCTCCTTCCTCCTCCTCCTCCTCCTCCTCCTCCTCCTCCTCCTCCTCCTCCTCCTCCTTGGGAGTGCTGAAACCAGCAAATCGCCTGAGACATCCTCCCAAAACTGCTCCGAAAACGACAGATGCCCAGCATCATAACGGCCAAACCGCCTGAGACATCCCCGCAAACTGGGCGCGAACGTCCTCCAAATCTGCTCCGAAAGCGAAACATGTTGGAAGAGAAAATGGCCAAACCGCCTGAGACATCCCCACAAAATCCAGCGAAGGGGGCCGAGTGAAATACCCCCCCGCCGCTCCCCTTAAAGTGCTGAAGCCAGCGAATCGCCTGAGACATCCTCCAAAACTGCCCCGAAAGCGAAACATGTTGGAAGAGAAAATGGCCAAACCGCCTGAGACATCCCCACAAAATCCCGCGAAAGGGGCCGAGTGAAATACCACCCCGCCGCACCCCTTAGAGTGCTGAAACCAGCGAATCGCCTGAGACATCCTCCAAATCTGCTCCGAAAGCGAAACATGTTGGAAGAGAAAATGGCCAAACCGCCTGAGACATCCCTACAAAATCCCGCGAAAGGGGCCGAGTGAAGTACCCCCCGCCGCACCCCTTAGGAGTGCTGAAACCAGCGAATCGCCTGAGACATCCTCCAAATCTGCTCCGAAAGCGAAACATGTTGGAAGAGAAAATGGCCGAACCCCCTGAGACATCCCCACAAATCCCGCGAAAGGGGCCGAGTGAAATACCCCCCCGCCGCTCTCCTTAGGAGTGCTGAAGCCACAGAATCGCCTGAGACATCCTCAACATCAGTGTGTGTGAGTCATCCGATGAGTGGACCTGAGTGAGTGTAGTGAATGTATGAGTACAAGTACGAGTGAGTCTGAGTGATGAGTGAGTCTGAGTGATGAGTGAGACTGAGTGATGAGTGAGTCCGAGTGATGAGTGATGAGTCTGAGTCATGACTGAGTCCGAGTGATGAGTGAGTCTGAGTGATGAGTTAGTCTGAGTGATGAGTGGGTCTGAGTGATGAGTGAGTCTAAGTGATGAGTGAGTGGGTCTGAGTGAGAGGAGTGGTGTGTTCTCTCTCCTCCGGCGCGGTCCGCCAATAACAAGAACCCCATACTTAGTACATGGGGAATAACAAGAACCCCATCTTAGGATATGGGGAAAAATAATGTTTGGGACGGCCGCGGCGCCCGATCTATCCTCCAGAACCGCCGGACCTCGGGGATCACCGATTTGTCCTGGCTGGATTTTGCCTCGATCTTGGCTTCGTCCTCCTCGGGGGCCTCCGAACGGTGTGGTGGCCACACCGTGTGGTGAGTCCAGTGTGGATTCGGGGCGTGTGCACGCTTTTGGGACTCGGGTCGCTCTCTGGGAACGTCTCGGGCGACGGGGACCTCCAGGGTCCCAGAAAACTGTGCGGTGAGGTTTCTTGGGGGTCAGGTCACCACACGGTCTGTTACCACATGGTTTCTGGGATCCCCACAGGCGGGCCCAGAGATCCGAGGGCTCGGCTTCTTCAGTACGGGGTCCCGGAAGTCGATTCGTGAGGGTCTCGGGGCCCACCTTTCTGCGCACTCTTCGAGCCAGATCGATCTGTGAGGCTCGCGGGGTCTCGAAACCGGGCGAAGTCGCCCGCTTTGATGGGGACTCGGGGGTGGACAGACCTCCTACCCTGACACGTCGATTAAGGAATTGGCCGTTTTCGGTTCGCGAGAGGGCGTCGCGGCCGTCATATTTGCGGGTCCAGGCCCGTCGGTTCCGGCCCCAGGCCGTTTTCACTGAGGGGAGGTTTGCTAAAGGGAGGCTGGTCCACCGCCGAGGGACTTGGCATCGCTCGGACGTGTGCATTTTTCCTTCGGCGAGGGCCATCGAGGAGCATCCTCGACCATCTGGCGAAAAAAACACGCACGAAACCAAAAAAAAACACAGGGAATGGACGTCCAAGCGATGGCCAGGGGACGCGGCCGCGGAGGCGCGGGAACCTGCAGCTGGCGGAGCTGCTGCTGGAGGGGGGCACCGCGGGCACCTCGGACGCGCCCCGCAGCCACGCCCGCTCGCGCAGCGCCCCGGCCTGCGCCGCGGGAGGCGCCACGGAGCCCGCCGCCCCCGCCGCCGCCCCGCGCGCGGCCTCGGCCCGCCCGCCCGGCGCTCGCGCCTCCCCCGCCTCCTCCTCCTCCTCCTCCTCCTCCTCCTCCTCCTCCTCCTCCTCCTCCATCTGCTCCTTCTCCTCGGCTGCCCTGGCACGCTCGCTTTGAAGCGCAACGGGTGCCGTGGTCGAAGCGTCCGTGTCAACTCGCCGCGTGGCCCGCGCTTTGGCGAAGGCAAATTGCGCCGGACCTGCGTGCTCAGTTCTACGCGTCGAGCTCCGTGCCACCACGCTGCGTGTCGCGTGTTGCGCGCCGGGGCAGCTCAGCTTCCCCGACATCCTCACACCAGGGAAGGGAACAAGACCTCTCCAGGTTTTCCCACGTCTTCGTCCCGAGGTCTCCGGGCGTTTCCGCGCAGGAGCCTTCCGGCCTCGGGACGCTCTCCTGCGGCGGCGCCCCGCCGAGGGCGCCCCGGGGTGCCCAGGTCGTCCCGGAGGGGCGCTGGCTGCCCGAGTCGTGGCCCGAAAACCTGACCTCCTGGCGCCGTGGATCAGGAGGGGAAAAACACACAGACACAATGAGTCGTCGATTCCCAAGGAAATATGGGGAAATATGGGAAGGGGGGGGGAAGACAACCCAGAAAATATGGGAAAGTATGGAGAATCTTGTTATTTGTGTGTATTTATTTGTGTGTCCCAGGGCCCCTTCAGTGGAGAACTCGCGACGGAAGGACTCTGCCCATTCCTGTCGGTCTCCGGGGTCACCTGCCGGGCCCCCCGGAGGCCGTCCGAGAGCGCTTCGAGGGCCCCGGCAGGGTCCAGACCTCTCTCGGAGACGCGCGGCGGCGAGAATCACGGCGTCTCACCGAGCGCGCTCCACTACTCGCAGAGTGCCTACTCGCAGACGCCCGACAACACACACGCCTGCTCGGATGTAATCGCTCGTAGATCCTCCGCGGGGGATCCTCAGGCCCTTCGCGAGCAGTCACTCTGCGAGCAGGGGAACGCGCTCGTCTGGCGTCGGATGCTTGGCCCCGGGGGCGTCGGCGAAGCGGGGCAGGGACCACCCGGGAGGCCCGAGGTGCGCACGGGGCGCCCGGCGCCTTGGGCGAGAGAGAGGGTTGCGCGCGTGGCCCCCGCGTCTTTCGGGCGCTCGGCCCTCTCGCGTGGCCAGGCGTCGCCAGCCGCCGCCAGCCCTCCACGTCGAGTCACTCGACCAGGGCAGGACGGCTGCGCGGTGAGGATGCAACGGGGCCCTGGAGCGCCATGGGCGACGCCTGCCGTGCGGAGCGCCGCAGGACGCCGATCAGGGTGCCGAATGCCGAATACCGCAGGGGCAGGGATGCGGGGGTGGCCTTGGAAGGTTGCCCCATCCTGACTATCATGGTCGACTGTATCGGGCCGAGCGAAAGGGGGGATCGGGAAAGGGGAGGGTACGAAATCTGCTGCATGCAGCTGGTTTTGGGCCCCGCCGCCGGGCCCATTCCTCGATACATGGGTGCCTCCGGGGGCCAGGAGGCGCCTGGAAAATCAGCTACGTGAGCTGATTCTCTACCCTACCCTTTGCTATCCCCCCCTTTCGCCCGGCCCGACTGAATCCAGCGCGTGGCTTCTGGACGTGAGGGCGGTGGGCGGGGGACGGCTAGGGACCTCGCCCTGCCAAGTCCACTCGCGAATCCGCTCGTGGGAGGGTGTGGCTCAGCCGCCTTTTTGCGAGCCTGCGCCTGCGGGGCCTGGCCCCCAGGCCGCTGTCACGGAAGGGTACAGGGTCCAGCTTGCGTGAGGAACACCTTTTTTTCAAGAGGGGCTCGGTCGTTTCTTTGGTTTGCATGCGTTCCGATGCCTTTTCGGCGGCGAGAGCCTCCCTGGTGCTCCTTGGAAAAAAGGGGCTTCGTTCCTTACTTATGGTTCCTTAGGTCAGGCCGAATCCTGTAATTAATTTTTCAGGGGAGGGTCATGTCCACATATGTCCACCCTCGGCTGGGGACCAGGAGGCGTCGGATATCTTGGCCGCGGCCATGGCGTCTTTCAATGCGTTCCCTTCGGCCCCCCTCCGCACACATGCCTCGGGCCATTATGTCGCACGCTCTCTTCCTCACATCCTCACACTCGGGCCATTCCTGCATTATGTCTCACATCCTCACATCCTCACATCCTACATTATATCTCACACTCCCTTCCTCCATCGGCCCATGTTGTCGCACACTCTGACCCTCCTCGCCTGCCGCCCTTCCTCCCCCCCTCCAATCCCCTCCTGTCGCACACTCGCATGGCTAATAGCTGTCACGGGCAGCTCCGCTGTGCTTGTGGATTTGCCAGCTGTCCCTCGTCATTGTCGTCGGTCCGTGGGGGAAGATGCCTCGGGCCATGATGCTCCTCCCCCACTCTTCGCGGCCCCCTTCTTCGGCGCACCCATTCGCACCCGACCTGTGCACGCGCCCGCCCTGTGCTCGGGCTTACAAGCCAGGGCGCTCAGCGAGAAGTGATGATGACGATGGCGGTGATGATGATGATGATGATGATGATGATGATGATGATGATGGTGGTGGTGGTGGTGGTGGTGGTGATGATGATGATGATGATGATGATGATGATGATGGTGATGGTGATGGTGATGGTGATGGTGATGGTGATGGTGATGGTGATGGTGGTGGTGGTGGTGATGATGACGATGACGATGACGATGACGACGAAGGTGATGATGATGCTGCTGCTGATGAGAATGCTCATGATGATACTGATGATGCTGATGAAGTTGATGTTGATGGTGGTGGTGGTGATGATCATGAGGATGCTGCTGCTGCTGCTGATGATGATGATGATGATGATGACGATGCTGATGATGCTGATACTGCTGCTGCTGTTGTTGTTGATGCTGATGCTGACGATGATGATCATGACCCTTTCATGACGATGATGCTGCTCACGATAATGATGGTGGTGCTGCTGATGATGCTGCTGCTGATGATGGTTATGATGACGATGCTGATGCTGATGCTGCTGATGATGCCCATGATGATGCTGATGATGCCGCTGCTGATGCTGATGCTGATTATGAATATGATGATGATGCTGATGCTGCTGCTGATGATGATGCTGATTAGTATCATGATGCTGATTATGATGATGCTGATGATGATGCTGATGCTGATGCTGCTGATGATGATGATGATGATGATGATGATGCGGATGCTGATGATGATGCTGCTGATGATGATAATGATAATGCTGATGATGATGCTGATGCTGCTGCTGCTGCTGCTGATGATGATGATGATGATGATGATGATGATGATGATGATGATAATGACGACGATGATGCGTTCCAAAGTTTTCAGATTCTCTTCCCGTCCCGCTCGGCCAGGGACGAATACCCAGGCCTCCCCAAATGGGGCCCGAGAAGATGGGGTCAGAGGATCGCACCGCACTACCGATGCATCGGCGATGCGGCTCCATGTAGAGTCCAATTTTCTCCACGCCGATGCCGCCGATGCATTGCGGACGTCGCCGATGCATCGGCGACACATCGGCAATGCGGCGCGATCCTCCGACCCCGTCTGCTCGGACGCCATCTGGGATGCCTTCAGAATGGCCGGGCACGGATGTCCGACGATTGTTGGACGCTTTGGAACTCTCAGAACGTACCCAGAGCCAATCTCTTTCTGGCAGCATTCTGGGGCATTGGGAGAACACTCACCCGTACAAGTCGATTGAGGAATTCTGATCCGAATCCGTTGACGTTGGCAATTCTCAGGGTGCTGGTTCAGTCCCCAGTCGGTTTTGCCTATCGTGCCAGGTACGTCTGGCCGTCTCTTGACGTCAATCGCACCGCGGTGCCGCGCACACCCTCGAGGTGCCTCTGGCAGCTTTCGCTACGGGGGGCGTTCAGCTGGGTTTTTGTTGATCCTTGACGTCCTCGTCCCATCGCCGACGAGGTCTGAGCTCGTTGAAGCAGGGCTGGACCTAAACGGTGTTTTTGGTGATTTCGTTGACCGTTTTCGTTTCGATTTCGTTTTGCGGTAAAGGCGGATTCGAGACAAAAGCTAGGGACAACGAAAACAAAACGAAAACGGAAAACACCGTTTAGGTTCAGCCCTGTTTGAAGTGCGCCAGGGCTTTTGCGGGTCCCCAGGGCCACCGGGAATCACAGGTTTCCGTGGTGCACCTGCTGGCATGCTGGTGCCTTCTCTGTTGCGCCTACTGCATCGTTCTGGGCCTCCCCGGTGGGGTCCGAGCAGATGGTCGGATGATCGCGCCGCATCGCCGACGCATCGACGATGGGGCTCTATGTGGAGCCCGATCTTCTCCACGCCAATGGCGCCGATGTATCGCCGACGTCGCCGATGCATTGGCGATGCGGCGCGATCCTCCGGCCCCGTCTACTCGGACCCCATCTGCAATCAACGGGACGCTGCCAGGTGGCTTCAGACGATCAATCATCGTTGAGTGGCCTCTTCAAAGTTGAGAGTCTGAGAGGCGCAATGGGCGTTCTTTGTTGAGTGGCCCCTTCCAGACTGACGGGCGCGGTGGGCTCCTGGCTGAATGGCCCCCCCGCCTGTGCACTTCGATGCGCTGGCTTCAAGCTCGGAAGGCGGGTAGTCTGTTAATTAATCGCTTCGTTCATTACGCCAGCCCATGTTGCACCATGCCGTATGTTGGTGTGCCCATGGCGGGCGAGAAGGAGGATAGGGGACTCGATAGGGGAGGAGGAGGAGGCGAATAATGATTCTGATGATGATGAGGATGATGATGCTGATGTTGATGCTGCTGATGATGATAATGATGATGATGATGCTGCTGCTGATGATGATGCTAATGATGCTGCTGCTGATGATGGTGCTAATGATGATGTTGCCACGGTGATGATTCTGATTATGATGATGAAGTTGCTGATGATGATGCTGATGATGATGCTGCTGCTGATGATGATGATGATTGTGATGATGATGCTGCTGCTGCTGCTGCTGATGATGATGATGATGATGATGATGATGATCATGATGATGATGATGGTAAGGAGGAGGAGGAAGCCAAACTGTGTCGCGGACGAGACGTCTCTGTGGAAGGATTCTTGGGGTCTCTTGGGAGGCCTCTCGGGGGCTTCTTGTTGGCATTTGTGGGAGCTTTTGGGGCCTCTGGGGGGCCCCGTGGGGCATCCTTTTGGACTTCTGGAGGCCTCTTGAGGGCTTTTTGAGGGCCTGGTTAGGGTCTCGGGGGCCAAGTTTTGAGGAATATAATAGAATCTGATAAAGCGCCTATGTGGGCGTGCGCCCGGGCCCCTTAAGGGCGAGGCGGGTGAGGTCATGGCCTCGCGTGGGAAATTGCGCGCGTCGGGCGCTTACTCAGAAAGATGCGTTCTTCGCGAAATTCTGCTAGTCCACATGTTCCCACTCCTCTGTTGTAGCCGGTTGTAGCAATGTGGTGTTTTTGGGGTCGTGCTGCATGTTCGGCGTGCGGCGTTGGTGGCGATGAGGTGGAGAGTCGGATGTTGAATGTTGGTAGGAAGACTGAGCTGCTCGACGCTGGAGGTCGATTGGTGGAGGTGGAGGTCGAGTGTCGGATGCTGAAGGTTGGAGGTCGGAATGCTGGGCTGGTGGGCGCTGGAGGTCGAGAGGTGGAAGTGGAAGCGGACAGTCGGATGCTAGAGGTTGGAGGTCGGAACGCTGAGCTGGTGGACGCTGAAGGCCGAGGAAGAGAGTCGGATGCTAGCGGTTGCAGGTCGGAGTGCTGAGCTGGTCGACGCTGGAGGTCGATAGGCGGAAGTGCAGGTGGAAAGTCGGATGTTACGGTTTCGCGGGGATGTCAGGAGTGGAGCGCATGACGAATTGTGTCTCCAGGGTCGTCCAAATTGCGTCGTCGGTCGCCAGTTTGAGCCAATCGATGTTGTTCACGTCGTAGCTTCTCTGGGCGTGTCGTTCTTGCACGCCGTGGGATACAAGAAACTCGCGAACGTCATCGTCCCATCGCTTCTGCTGTCTTCCCAGACTTCTACACCCATTTTGCGAGGTATGGAGGCATGGGTGCCAGTTAACCACGCGTTGAGACCATTATCGAGGGGACAGTTTCGCCACTCTCGCGGCACATCTCCATACCATTCGTCGCTCCTTCATAGTCTAATCGCTCATACTGTGCTTGTGCATGAGGCTTTCTGCTTGTCTTGTCGTTCGTTTAATGTATTCGACCCATGGTTCCACGACAGTGCTCTCTCGTGCGACGTTCTTTTCGTTGTCGGTGTTGGGAATGTGTGCTGTCCTGGTATCTGCGTTTGGGTTGGCAGCTGGCGATCGATTGCGCGTGACTTCTCCGTGCGTGTCGTCTTGGTGGGATTGCGGGTCAGTCATCGTTTGTGTCGTGTGTTGGTTGGTCGCACTGGGCGTCGGTATCGCGTTCGAGTGTGAACAAGACGAGCAAACGCAAGTGCAGAAGCGCCAACGCACCAGCAAAGCGCCAACGGCGGTAGCTGGATACCAGCAGTGTAGACATCAGTTCTGTAGTTGCGCGCATCTGTTTCTTCGATGGTCTAGTTCTGTTCGAATGGCTATTTCACGGGAAAAAGCGGTCGCCTGCACTTGTTGCAATGTTCGAATCGCTTTCTGTTAAGTCCGCCGCTCCGCCTGCTCTTCGGGCCTCCCGATATGCACGCGGCTTCCACGGCGCTGCTTCTGAAAATGAAGTAAACTCATAATCAATGTGTAATTTGATTACACATTGATTTAATGCGTGGGGGGTACTCGTTGAATGTTATTTCTGGAGTTTTTAAATTGATTTTGATTACATGGGTTTACAAGGTTTACAACTTGAATTTGTTTGTAGGGCTTTTTCGCATTGCTTTTGAGTTTAGGGTGGCGGCGGCGCGGGGCCGCGGAAGCTTACCGGGAAAACATGTTGAACACTTAAATGCTTGTGTCTTGTGATTTCGCAGGGGGAACACATGAAAAAGGGAGGACAACTTGTGACTGGCAGCGTTTTTATGTGTTGCCGCAATATAACCGCTGGCAGTCACAGGTTTTCCCGTCGTTTCGTTCATATATATAGACATGTATATATACACATACATATATACATATATTGGTTTCCATCTGAAGGCACAAGCTTTTTATGTGTTTAACATGTTTTCCTGGTAAGCTTCCGCGGCCCCACGGCGCCGCCTCTGGAAATCCATTGCCATCAAAATCAAGTTGTGAGTTTGATTACACGTTGATTTAATTTGTGTGTGTGGGGGGGCACACATTGAATTGGATTGTGGCGGTTTTCAAATTGATCTTGGTTGTGCGGGTTTACAACTTGAATTTGATTGTAGGGCTTTTCAAATGGTTTTTACTTGTAGGGAATCCTCGTGGCGGCCCCGCGGGGCCGCGGAAGCTTACCAGGAAGACAGGACAAAGA